GTGACAGGATCATCGTTATCCAACACATAAATTGACTGTGATATTAGATCTGTATCAATTGTTGGTTGAGTTATATTCGATGTATGCCGAATTTTTCGCTTTTGATATTTCTTCTGCAAAAAAAAGTTTTTCACTTAAATAATGCTGCTGATATTACTGCTAAATCTTGGTAGATGACTAAAGTTGTTTGAACTGGTTGTCTACTGAACAGTTATCTGTCAGAACTGTGATCAAACTTGTCCACATGTACCATCTACATTTATACGGCTGAAGTTTGATCAAAATAACTTACATCGTCGCCGTCAACAAAGTCTGAATCCTCACTGTTCCATTGTCGTTTTGCTGCCGTTTGACCTGGTCTATCCGCACTTGGGCAAGTCGGAGGCTAAACAAAGTTGTTCAAATTTTCTTTTCTTGTTCAAAATATCATTCATCCACCATAATTAACTAAGGCTATTAAACAGTGTTGTTAAAAGCGTTTCAAAAAAAAAAGAAGTGAAAAAATGAGGAAAGAGTAAAAAGAGAAAAAATTTATTTTTTTATATACCGTGATTCCATTACAGCCACGATTTTCTTTAACGCATAAACGAATTTCACACTGAAATCTGACCACCACCCGATCAGCAAACTTAAAAACCAGTGATTCACGATAGGCCATATTTAATGCTTCCACGTATGTTGGATCACCCAACAACGTTCGATCAGTATGACATCTGTATAAATTTGAAAAATTGATAAAGTAAACTAAAATTGAGCACTCAAAAAACGTATTACATGAGGTTTTGTACTTTTGATTTAAATTTAAGCACTTTCCAAATATATTAAAAGAGTATAGGATGAAAAAAATGTATCTTTTTGCCTTTTGTAACAGATATACTGTTTTTTAAAGATATTAATTGAAAATTTAGCAAAAGATAAGCAGCTAAGAAACCCTTTGTCGTCAATGACCAGCTCTTTTTCACCCTGACCATCTTCCACGTAACAACTGTGTACCAGCATTCCATAGATGTCTAAAAGTCAATTCTGATTACATCTGTTCCATCGTATTTCCATATAAAGAACAGCTAACTGTTAGCTGTTACAAAATATGAACAATGTTGAACAGGGAAAAAATTTTTTTTGATTTACTATTTTTTGAAAAAAAAAAAA